ACTGTGAAAGTTTTATCATGTCAATTTTTAAAATGAGTCCCCATTCAAAGTTCTGTTTTTCCTTATTCCTCCTTGTCCAAACAGATAATCAGTCACTGAAGTGTTTCCCAGTAACTAGAAGAAAGAAACAAAGAAGAATATAGAAGCAGAACAAACTATAACATGGCGTTGTTTTGATTGAACTACTAGCAAAATCTCTAGCTAGTATTTTTGGAAATAGTGTTGAGTAAGCTTTCTATGCTTTTTAATTTTTAAATAAAATTAATAAATTTTGAATACACAAAAACATCCAACCACACTGAGAGAGCTTAAGCCCGGAGGAAAAGCCTCAATAGGTTGGCAGGTTACTTCTACAGATGTGGGGCTAAGTCTAATAACCTGCTCTGGGGAAAAAAAAAGAGTGAGAATGTGAATTATTTATGTGAACACAGTGATAATCTCAAACCTTGTTTAAATATACATGGAGTCAAATTTTGATCATCTCTAGTCAGATTATCCAAACCATGCAATAAGAATGTAGTTCTAGGAAGTAAACCATCTCTTTTCATGCATACAAACATTATTTTATACCTTGACTTCACTTTTCCAAGATACATATACTAGAACAAAATATTTTCTTACAGTTTGTACGGATATTTTAAATTACTGATTTGTTTTTAATCACTCCTCCCTATTGTTACTACATAACCTCAAACTGAAATACTTAACATTCAGAATCCTTTTGGATTCAGTTTAAAGAATACGTGGTAAAAAAGGTATTCACAACATTTTTAGACAGTAGAACATTTCTGGTCAAAAAATGAAGTATCTCAGACTTGCTAAAGTTTTGAAAAAAGTCACAAATTCTCATTTCTAACTGAACACTATCTGAACTCCTGCCTTTTCTGCTTTCACCTTAAGGAACCTGAAAACAGTAGATGTATTGGAACAGCCGGATGACAGGTCTGTTTCCATTTCTTGGGATTCTTCAACAGCATAGTGAGAACTTCACTCCACGAAATCTCTATTGGCAGTTTAAATGTATGTTGTAATTAAAGATGATTATGACTTAATTTTGTGGCTCAGGAGTTAAGTAACTCATAACGCAGGAAAACAAGGTTTGCATAAAATTATTATATCATGAATGCAAAGCTGATGGTAGAAATAATTTTGAAAGCTCTTTGAACTACAAGAAAATGGTCTGTATTTGCAAAGATTAATGTTGGATCCTAAGTATTGCATACTCTTCTAATGTTAACGATTTTTATTCACTCATTGTAAATTCTGATGATTAACTAGATACATGTGCTTATAATACCTGCAGTCGGAAAACTAGTTTTAAAAAGACTATCTGGTATTCTCAGTGATTAGAACTAAAGTATTCTTTATTTACCTTTTAGATGTTCTTTTTATTTCTACAGTCTTAACAGAACTAAATATTTCAGCATTCCTCAAAAAATACATGAAGAACAAGAGGCACATCAGACCTGGATATAAGTATATAGGAAAGCATGCTTGTGGCCAAAAAAGAAGCTCAACAGAAAACATTTACTTATATTTTCCAGTCTGTGGTAACAACTTAAGCAACAAATTAATTATTTTTTTTTTTCTCCCAGAGAAAATAGGCTTTTTTTTTTTTTTGCTATTACAAAACAATGATTTTTCATATTTATCATGTAGAATAAATTGGTGTTTCTTTTCAGCTCTACTAATGAAAAAAATGAAAAGAATAGGAAGAAAAGTTGCTGTGTCACTGCTGCAACACAAGAACTGCCATAACTGATCAGCCCACTCAGTGGTCCTCTTAGCAGTTTTGTCTGAGAAGTATCTGGTATTGCTGAAAGCCAAAGCTCTGCAGAACTTCACTATGACAAACAGCTCATTGACAGTTTGCTTCTTTTATGCAGCACTCAGCAGCTCTTGTTAAAACCATTATACTTCGAGTCATCTCATGCTTCCCACAGAGAATTGACTCATTTGCTGCAACTCCAACTCACTATCTTTTTGGTGAGTTATACAATGTATACGTCAGTACACTCAATACTTACGTAACTTGGAAAAAAAATCAACTAGATTTGTGTTTGTCAGCCATTTAGTTGCTTCTGGAATTTTAGTCATTATCTCAGCCTAAGCTTTGATATGAAAAAAATATGTATCTGTGAATGTCTAAGTTTTGATAACTTCTTGTAGGAGCTAGTTCACCACATCAACTAAACAAAAACAAAAATTTCCTTCTACAACACTGCGTTCGTTCCATCATGGCTTAACTCTCCCAGATCTTGTTTAACAAAAGGGAGGAGGAAGAAGGATGAATCCAGTGCACTTCTCTACACCATGTATTATTTTACTTACTTTCTTCATCATTACTCACTGTTTAATATTGCTAAGTATATCCTCCTATTCCATTTTTTCTAGCACTTTTCTCTTTTGTGGCACTGTTCACTGCTACTCAAGATGAAAACCAACACATCTGCCTGGACTACTACTGCAAGCTTATGCATTATATCATTTGAATATATGTATGTATTACATGTGCTTTACTAGAAAATTCAAACTAATGATTAAATTAAAATTTTTCAATTTAATTTGAAGTGCCAGCAGAACACAGTAAAGAAAATCTCAATGAAAAATTACTAAAATTAAGCGCTACTGCAAGTGTTACTAGTAATAAAAAAACTACTGTTAGAACAGTATGTCAGCCACAGACATTTGACAAAATCTAAGACTAATGAAACATTATTTCTCATAAAGTTGAATAATAAATACCGGTTGCATTAGTTAGTACTGGTTAGCATTGGTTAGTAACCAATTAACATTGGTTAGTATGCTTAACAGTTATTTTGAGCTAGTAAACCAACTAGATTTCTATTAAATTGAAACAGAAAAAAAAAATTAAGATAAAGATTATTAAGTCTTTAATGACAGTATATAGGCCAGCTCTTCTCCATTTTTTTCTAATCTGTTATGTGTGAAACAGAGTATAGCAACATATTCCCCCTGTAACACCTTCGCCTCTGGTAATGCAGATAACAGTTAAATGAAATCTTCACGCTTTCCAGTAATGTAGTTATTTTTCTTATATCTGTTCCATATTTAGAGGAGATCACATATCTGGAAGTAAATCACCCCTCCCTTTATGGGACAATGGTTTGGCTAAAAGTTTTTCAGCTACCAAGTCATAATAGATACTTCAGATTAATTATTACTACTTGGTGTAGTGATTAATTTCATTTTTAATGTATAGTTAGAAACATAACACTCAGTAATTCAATTTAAAGCAGCTGGCTTTTACAAGACGGTTGGCTTCAATAAGACTGCCAAGAGAGTAACCTGCACTAAATAATTTATTAAATGCTACCTCCCTATTCACGTATACAAAAACAAAAGTTGCACAGAATAGGTTAATAGAAGTGGCTCTGAGTGTTTTAACCTTCAACATTACAACATACATCATGTAGCAAAGATAAATCATCTGATAAAAGAAAAAAAGTAACCAAGACACTGCATACGTTAAGTCCTGCAAATAAGATGAAATATTATACTCAATTTTCTAGAAGTACATGGGGAAGGTCAAGCCACCTTTGAGGCATCTGAACAGAAGTCCTTTTAAAATCAGAGATATTGGTAGCATTTGACTAAATGAGTAGCTGCAGAAAGTATACTTAGGAGAGCTACAAACATATTGCAATAAAATATAATTCTTACATTCTAACAGTTATTCATTTCTATCACTTCTTTGCTTACAAACTATCCTTTGGTGTAAGACAAACATAATCCCTACTTTGCAGAAGGGAAAAATAAACTACACAAAGTTTCTGATCACAGTCTTGAGACATGAGAATCCTTTGACAAGCTTAGCACATAGCAGTAACTCTAGACATTAAAAAAAAAAAAAAACAACCAACATCCTACTTATTTTTTTCCCCTTTACATAAATCTTCTCTAACTTCTGGCTGCTGTTCTGACTGCATTCTGACTTTTAACTAAAATAACAAAAATCGGAATATTTCTGCATGCAAAAAAGTACATAGTATGTAAACAAAATGCTATATGCAACTGCAACTCAAAAGCTGTTTACTATGAGAGTGATGTTAGAGCTGGTCATGACAAAAGCCTTAACTACTGGTAAATATTCCTATTTAATTACTTAGAACGTCCTTAAGGGATAAAAATAATTAACCAAAGAGACAACCTCTGGAAGCACTAAGTAGTATCTTACATATTATTGCAGAAAACAATTACACTTGGAATTGAGAAAAAGCAGTGGAGTCATAAAAAAAGCCTTACACTGTTCTGTTTAAGGTTTCTTGATATTTATTTCCTTTGTTCGTTCAAACTATAGTGTTGCTGCAGTGTATCCTCCTGAGTAACGTACAGGATGGGAGCAGTCATTCACATCAGAGGACCATCAGCAGCTTTTAAACAGAACGTCCACTGACAAGTAAGTAGGTTTGTACGAAGGGTATTGCATGGTCTGGTAATGAGGCTTTATGATGACATTAGCCATCTTAATTAGGAAAGTACTAAATAGATTAAAAAAAAACTCGAGAGAAAACATCACAGCATTTTTTCTTTTCCTTCTCTAAGCAACCTGACAGATATGGAAATCTCATAGCAAAAAGTTTGAAGAATCAAACAATGCAGTGTATATTACAGGAAAGACAAGAAAATGACAGAAAATCTGTCAGGTTTTGACAAATCCATGTTGTTCCTTCAACAGTTACTTCTGCTGGGTAGCTATTAAATACTTCTGTCAGCCTTGGAGACAGAGGTAGTTTAGGTGCTCATTATAATGATGCAAGAGTAAGGTAGATCATTTAATTGCCACATGACAAAACAGATCCACACAAGAAATGAATGTTAGATATCTGCTGTGAAAAAAAAAAATCTGCTGTCCTACAATGTAGTCTACATGTCACAATTTTTGTAAAAAGGAAGGAAAATTAATACAGTCTATCTGGCATACAAAGGACATACTCCATCACTACTGCAGAAAAAATCCTTTCTTCTCAAATTAATACCTTATGGGGTGTCGGGGAACTTTCCTCTATTTCTTCAGGTCCTTTGGGTAGAAGAGGAGCACAGTCTGATACTAGTCCTGAAGGCTGTTCTACGTACTCTTCTGAAAACAGAAATCATAATTCACTATTGTGAGCACTATGAAACAATAAGAGAAGTATCAACATTATATGAACAACTGTGACATTACTGTCTAGCCAATAATTGTACGTGAAATAAAACTGGTCAAAAAACTTTGAAGCTAAACTTTGTAAGATAACTGGTCAAAGTTTGCCCATTCATTTTGTTTATATTAGTATGTTTCGATTTAGATTCAAGGTCTCTGGCTTATTTTGCAAGAAAGAGAGGAAGGAGAAAATACACAGGATGTGAGGGGAGGACGACAAAGGAGAAGGATGGCGGTTCAGCTAATTTTAAGTAGCATCGTCTAGTTAGCACATTAGTATGTTCAAGTTTTTAAAGGAAGAGGCATAGATAATAGAGTTCACTTGGAAGACAGAGGAAGGAACTAGAAAATAGAGGAGAAGATCTTGAGAAACGTTGGGTTAAAAGATTTCTAAATACCAGTATAACTGATAGCTTGATAGTTTAGGAAAGCAAATGTATTTCCTGTAGCATGTAATCACACGCAATATTCATAAATTGAATATTATTAAGTGACAGGACACTGAACACCTTTATATCAGTTGACTCATTAAGATGACTCTTATACTATTTGTTCACTTACACTCAGTTTTAGTTGCATTAGTTTAATCCTAACCACTTTAATTACAAGAGCCTTGTAGCAAGTTCAGTGCTCAGATGCAAGGTTTAACCATGATTGTTCTTTTAAAACTTCATAATGGAATTCATCTATTTGGAAATAGCATTCTCCATAAGAGCTGGGGGGTGGAGGAAACAAGAGTTTTTACAAGATGCAATCGGTTTGATCTAACAGATATTGCCTAAAAAGCCTAAGATGCCAGTGAAAAGCTAAAATATGTACTAAAACGTTGCCAAGACAGGGCATGAATCAGGTGGTTATATGTAAGAAGGGACGAGGAATCAACCCAGTTTACTGATAATCAAGCCATACAATATAAGCAGGAATGTTTAATCAGGCATCAATATATTCTAAAGTCAGGTATGTCAACTTGCTACACGGTTAGCTAACTTTATATGATTTCTGCATCATAGTAAATCATCGTTATGCCACCTGTGTGCTACATAAATTCTTATTTTCAAAATAATAAGCAGTACAGCATGGTAAAATCTTGTACCATCAGTTAAACCCACATCAGTATACCAGGAAGACAGCAGTAAACTTACTTTCACCAGCCACATAATTAGCTGGAAAATAGCCTTGCTGTCCATTCGCTAGGCTGCCAAACCACCAGTTATCATTATCTTTGTATAACACTTGGATAATGTCACTGCGATGGATGGTTAGCTCATCTGATCGATGCGCTGTGTAGTCATAAAGAGCCACTACCTAAAAGAGAGATAAGAGCACCACAGCTTTATCACAACCATGCCACAGAGAAAAAAGCACAACATTCACTTCCTCTTGCAGAAAAGCAGCTGAAACCAAAGCTGCACTTTGGTAAAAGCTGAGGCTGTCTCGAGTTTTGCTAATGGGATCAGGGGTGGTGGGAAAGCAGCAGGAGAGGCAAGATAAAGGACTGTGGGATTTTAGAAATGGTTAAGAACATTCAATTCACTAAGATTAGCTTCAAAACAGCAGCTGTTAGTTTTATAAGCAATTTACTTGTGAAGCAAAAGAAAAAAAAACACTTCATACATTCGCTTTCTCAGAATTGTTACACCACCTTCAGATCCCACTCTGAGTGCGTATGAAGCATATGTGTTCAAATAAATACTTCAGCAGTGCTACAGTTTTACCAGAAGGAAAAGTTCAGTGGAAAAATGTTATTGCAAAGTTTTGCTTTGATCACCTCACATTTTTCTTGTTTCTTTGGAAATACGCATTTGCATAAAGTATTTTATAAATATCTGCAAAAACATTGGTGTAAATTCCACCTCACATAACAAAGCCATTTGTCAGTGAAAAACAGGACATTGATACTTTTCAGGATGAAAGCGCAAACGGTGATCAGCACCATGCACACTACATAGAATACATTGCCAGAAGCTTGCTTTCTACTCTGAATGTGAAAATATAAAATATAATTTCTTATTTATTTCCCTCTATGAACAAAAATCTGTTCTGACAAATTCAGAGCCAGAAATGACTGAAAAGAGGTGAACTGAAAGAAGAGGGGAATTGCTCACTTCTTTCATTGTAAGTGAAGATCATAAATATGACTTCTTTATACAAAGGGCACTATTCCCCTATATAGAATCCTCACATTTATGAAATCATAAATAAAAAGATAAGGAACAGGGATTGTTAGGGAGTGACAGAAGGGTATAGGGTATTAAAGACAGTAAAGTTACTATGCAAACAGAGATTTGCACAATTTTTTTTTTATTACCTATGCATGCATTTAAATCTGAAGAGTGCTGAACTGCGGTGTTTTTATATTTGTTATTTCTATTTTTAGTATGATCACCTATGAGTTATGTGTGCAAAAATATAGCCAATGTCATTTATATTTTCATACTTGCACTTCACTGATGAATCACTTATGAATGGGAAAATATGAAAACGCTTTTACCATTGAAAATTGTATGTGGTAATTTGTGAGCTGGTTGGTGACAAAGAAGTAATATCACCACATGTAGGTACACAAGAGATTTATCTAAATATGCATTCAGTAAGCATGAACTTATATTTAAGTAGTTAAACAAGGACCATCTTCTGTCATAATTCTCCTCCTAGCATTAAGAAAGACACTGCAGCAATTACAAGTAATGTTGACTAAAGAAATACGAATGATAGAATAGAACCATATTAAAATACACTACAGAGCTCCATACAGAAACCGTGCAGAACTGGAAGCTTACATGATCATGCCCAGTAAGGGGTGCTCTAACAATGCCCACTTCAGCTCAATGGTTAAGGTTTCCTTAGTAATAGTACTATGAAAATCACGAGGTCACTTAAGGTAAAATGAATTTTACACTAGCATTTGGCAGAATGAAACGCAGAGTAATGATTATTTATTTTTGCAGTGCCTTTTGTAAGATAGCATTGCAATGTTTTGTCGTTTGGAAAAATATTACAAAAATTAATTAACATGGAAACACTGCCAACAAACAGTTCAAACTAACCAAGCAAGTCCCACTTATTTTTGTCTCTCAGAAACAAAAAATTAAAATACCAATGTGACCTGTAATACAACTGGTTTAGCAAGTCTGACAGTTTAAATGAAATGTGGAAATTGCCATAATATTCCCTAGAGATAAATAACCAGAAAATAAGCATGAGAGAAATACAGGAAATGTATCTCAGGACCAAAGGAGAATGTAAAAGACTCATAATTATGCCCAAAGCAATGGAATTTCTCCTGATGTGACATTCAGATATGTGTTAAATGTTGTCTGAGTACAAATTCAAGCAAAAAAAAAAAAAAAATAATCTATACCCATCAACATTTTAAAGAATCATTTTTGAGAAATGATGTAAAACCACCAGTAAGATGGTTATGAACACATTAACAAGGAAAATCTAGAATGGCAAAAAAAAAATCCTTAATTCATGCTAAAAAACACAACGCTTTCAAAGACATGGATGCAGTGTGACAGGTACTGCAGAAAATTACATAATACTTACTGTTTCTTGGTCGAGCAGACAACTGCTTCCTCCTCTTTCCCCCAGTGCAGTTAGACGGGCATCACTCTAGAAGATTAAATATTGTAACACAGTGTTAAAGGTTATTGATATACTACAATTTTACACTTCTTCCATATGTCTTGCTTATTCTTAAAAAAAAAAAACTGCAATAAAAATGTTTTTTAAAAAAAAGAAAAAGCAGAAGTGATATTGAGCAATCCAGAGTAATGCTGGCTATGCAGATACTTACAGAACTTAAAAAGCTTTTCAAATGTGTACGCTGCACTAAAGACAACATGTGGGAGGACAGAGGATTGATGATTATACAGTCTAAGCTTGTCTGCACTGCAAATATTACAGTAGATGTTTAAGAAATCGTTGCAGTGAACTTTACCTCTGAACTGATATTCAGAAGATTTCACTTTCATGTAAGGAAGAATTTCAGGCTGGTTTTAATAACCAATACTTAAACATTCAGTTCTAATAGCTCCATCTTTGCCACTTAACTCTTCAGACTTCCAGTAAAGCCACAGGAATATCACTGTATATATAGGGCAAGCATTAGGATGTGCCAATACTTACAAAACTTGATTTCTATTAAAAAAAAAACAGCCCTTAATTTACAACAAAATATAAAATAGAGATACAGTGAAAAATTAGCAGAAAAAGAAAAAAAAAGAACAATGGAAGAAATGGAATTTTTTTGCCTAATGGCCTGTTTTCACCAAGGGGAAACCAGTTACCCCTAGATTTTGCATGCATCAAAGGATACTAAGTACTGTGTGGAACAGAAATATTACATAGTAATAAAAATATTTTAGAAGAGAAGAATCAAAGAATAACATGAAGTACACATTTCCACCCAACTTCTTTTACTTTCTTTTACTTTCTATTTCTTAATTTGGTTGATCCAAGCAACATCATTATTACAATCTTCAGCAGAGTAAATGACATTCTTGTGACAGAGATTCTTGCCCTTACACATTGTTTTCTTAACTTTGCTAAGCTTATCACATAGGGGAAATACATTCTTCATGCTCTTGAAAACCAAGGCTCAATCTCATCTCCAGGCATCATCACCGTAGTTACATACACAAGCAATGCATACTGATGAATGCAATACAGAAATGAACAGTTGCACTCAGTTCTTAAAGTTTACCAAAACAACTCAGCCTACCACCCACAGTTCTGTTAATTATGTGTATACACAAAAGAGAATTTAAAAAAAAAAAAAAGTAACTGCCTGATTTGATAAGCAAATTTTGAGCAAAGAACAATGGAAGCACAGTTCAGAGTATGAGGCATGATCAATGGTCTACTGGTAGCTAGCAGTGCCTTACAGGATCCAGCTATTTCTCACTTTTCACTGTCAAGGTTAAGAGAATTGTGCAGGCAATGTGCTTAGCCTGTGGGATGGGAGTGCCTCCTGTTGCTCAAAAATGATTCATCAGAATTATTAGCAGTATTATTTAGGTATCTAGTTCAGGTACTCACATTGCCCCATTGTTGTGTCTCAATCTGTCTCTCTCTTTTTAATAAAGTATTTATGCGCTCTCAAACACTCAGCGTAAGAAGACCTTGAAGAGAGCGAGTAGTTTGGAAATAACAATCTGAAATCCATGAGTCATCCTGAGACTACGCTGAACGCTCTCAGATGCCGCGTTAAACTTCTAAGGCAACAACAATCCAGAGAGTTTCTTCTTGAGAGGCCCAGGGAGCAGGGCCCAGCTGCCCCTAACCGCACTGGCAGCCCTGATGGCAGCTGGCTGCTGCACCAGCCGGGAAATTGTGTCGTAGCTGCTTACCACAGGCCTGCCAACCCTGCACAGTACCAAAGGTGGCTCTGCAGTGCCATGTTGTTCATCAAATACTGCTAACTACCAGGTACTCTGCAAGAAAAACCTGGTGCAAACAACTGCCTGTTCAGTTTAAGAATGTTATTTTTTTAGTGCCGCGTCACAAGATTAAGCTACATTTTTAGGATTGCAGTAAAGCAATACATACATACTGAAGAGTGTGAATGCAGTGTTCTTAGTATTAGTGTCTTCTTTTTTAATGCAAGATGGAAGCTAATTAATCCTTTTCTTCCATCCAAACAGATGTGAGGTCTAAAGATAAGTTCTTAGGAGCTGCTCTTAAAGTGAGTAGACCATCTGTGAGGAAAAAAAGCCTGCCATGTCACATTGATTTGGCTCAAACAAAACTGCAAGGAGCTTTCAGCATAAGAAACATCCTCAGACAAAGACAAATGGATCTAGCTTCAGACTATGGAACATGATATTGGATATCCACAATAGGCCCACGTGGATAACTTAGATATTTCTAAGAAAAACAGGAAACATTTTAAGAACTAATAATAAGAGAGCATTTCAGGTAAGAGTAAGCTGATAAGAGAATTGCCATATCAAGTGTCACTGGTAACAGCACTAATTAAAATGTTTATGACTTCTCCATAACTGAGTAGTTTCAGTGATTGTGGTAATGGAGGTTTTGCTTTTATTCAGAGATGTAAGGTGGCCAGCAAGATTTGGGCATCAGATAGCAGATAGTGTTCATAGCCTTACGAGAAGCAGCTTTGAGTAAGAACAAGTGATGTGTTATCACTGCCTTTTCTGTTAAAAAAATAAAAAATCAGCATTTTATTTCTATATTTCAAATACAAAAAATATAAAAATTTAAAGAAAAAAATCATGGAAAATTTTAGAGTTTACTGGTGGTTTCATATGCTTCTCCCTTATATGCAATCAAATTCTTTACAGTCAGAATAAATATAAAAATCAAGGTATATGACATTTAGTCATTAACTCCTACTAACTCAACTTGAAAAATAAACTTGTCTAAGATCAGTCTTAGGCATACACTACACAAACATGGTGAATACAATGACTGCAAATCCAGGGCCCAAGTCAACTTCTGCCCTGTTCCTGTTGGAAGGACTGACCCAGTGACATGAAGGAGGACATCATCTCTTTCTTGGATGCTGCCAGTGCTCCTGCTTCTCTCCACCTCCCTGCACCTGTTCTCTGCAAGGATGTAAAAGAAGCTGGAGTGCTCCTTGTGCAGACACTCCAGCAAGGACACTGGGAATCAATGTCAAATCTTCCCTTGTCTGGTCAACAGGTCTGTACCCCAGAGATTAACAGCCAAAGCTCTGAGACTGGCTTAAAAATCTGGTAACATTTAATGCATTTTTTAAATTTACAGAGTCAGTCAGAACATTCACAGTTACTGCATTGTTTTCATTTTTCCTTATAAAGTCGAGGGTTAGAAATTAACTTAATCCTTTCCTTCCTTAAGAATGTCATGCAAACTCTTTACTCCTGTAACTGAAGTTTTAAATGAAATACTAAATAAGCTGAGACTTAACATAAAATAATTGAATACTGTTAGCACTGTCACATTTTTGTTCATGTTCTCTGGTCCAATTAATTGTCAACACACACTCAGCTAAGGACACTTAACCGCACAAATTCACTCTACAGGAAACAGAATGACAAGGACGGAATTAATAGCTAAATTAAAATGATTCTAAAAGCATTAACTGCTAAGAATAATGTACTCTTCTCTTGTCTTTTAATGAATCCGTCTGCTGTCAGAAAACTACTGTAAAGTTACTTCCTTAGGCTTCAGATGACTACATTCCTTATTTGATTACACCTCTTCAATATTTAATGAGCATGGGAATCTATAATCTGCCTAGAGGAAAAAAAAAAAAAAAAAAGAAAAAAAACAACCTGTGCCAGGCTGCACTTTATTGAAACCTGCAATGTACAAACAGAAAACAGAAATGCAAACACAGCTGCTGCAGTAAAACCCACAGGGCTAGGGAAACAAAAAAAAAAAAAAAAAGAAAAAAAAAAAAGAGAGAGAGAGAAAATAATAAAAAAAAAAGGATCAATTCAGATGTACAGAGAATACTCGAGCTCCTGAAGTTATTCAAAAGCTGTTCTGTCATTTGTTAATATTTTACTTGCTTGATTAAAACAACTTCGTTTAATTGTACTTGCAACACATACATATTTCTGCATATTATTATTTATACACCAGAAAATGTAACAAAAACATTAAAACCCTTAATCTAACCCTCAGGAAAAAAAAAAAAAAAAAAAAAAAAGCTGCTATTTATTATTTAGTTGATCTTCTGTTTGTTTATAAAGCTTTCTGTGACACAGAAAACTAACATACTAACTGAAAAATGAATGCATACTTATTTGTAAAAATTATATGAGGGTTAAAAAGTTGGAAATGTGTAAACAACAACCATTTAGTCAACAAAGAAATACAGTTTCAAAATTAGTTGGTGATTCCCATGTGTCTTACAAGCCTTCCATAACTTTATTAACACAGATATTAAATCATGGCATTCCATACATGAGGGGATGGAGCATTAATATCTGAGTACAACAGGCCCAAGTCATCTAGAGCCTTGTGTAATTTCAGCCCAGAACAAACTTACTCTTCCATCACTAGCTCCTCTATGCTCAATCCAGGTTAACGACTTGGAAGTAATGGCATTATGGATTCTGTCGTTTTTTATTACAGTGATTAGGAAATGAGAAATATAAGAAAGGAAAAAATTACTGTAAGTTTTCAATGAGACTTAGAGAGGAGCCATTAAATTAATGGAGAACAGTTGTGATGTCATTTGTTACAATAGGTGAAATATTAGCAAACATATTAGTAAAAATTAGCAAAAATATTAGTAAAAACACAGGATTTAATTTCAAGTTCTTGCTCCATTTTTCTCTTTCCAATTACCAATTTATTTCTAAACAACAATAAATAAGTGATTAAAAAAAAAAAGGTTTTATTTACACATATCTGATCTCTCAATCAGCTACCTGCAAAAATACCTTATTTGCCCACACAGACAATTTGCTTGAAGATACTTTTTTTTTTGTGAATAAGGGCAGGATAAAAAAAAAAAAAACCACCTCTCTACATGAGAACTTGTGAATAATGGCATTTTATAGTTAGACATCAATTTTAAAAAAATGCAAAGATAGAATTCCTTACCATCTGTATTCTGCCCAATAGTGTTCCGCTAAGAGGGTTTCCTACTGGGCTGAAACACCCTGCGAAAAGAAAAGGCTGTGAATTTTTTGCTTGTTATCCTCTTCCACCGAATAAATCATTTTATTTTAATGTCATTATGTTAGCAGGATACATTTGACAAAATTCTAATGAAAAGCAGCAGCATCTTTCAATCACAACTATGCATCCTTCAGTCAGAAACAGTTGGAGGGTGTATTTAACTAACAGACCTGACACAAGGTTAACTAATCCAATATTTCCATTCAAATGATTTGGAGAAATAGCTCGAGCAATGTCCACATGCCACCTCGTGCTCAGAGCTGATGCTATTATCTAGCCTGTATTGCTTCTCTCTTCACTGAATTTCCAAGGAACGCACACGAAGTTTTCAAGCAGATCACAAAAATTTTCAAAGGAATTACTTCCTTATTTTATCTAAAAGAATAAGTATGCCTATTCAGTAGTTCTCTTTGATCATCTGAGTCCCTATCACAACACATCTTGCTGTTTATTTTATTCACTCTCTGTACAGTGCATTTGAACAAGCACTTGTAAATTCTTTTCTTTTCGAACTATTATGTTAACTACTAAGCCAAGAGAAATCCTTTCATCATTTACGGATTTTTCTTTTTTGTTATTGGTCTCTTCAGCTGTATACTTAAGAAAACATCTTAAAAAGACACAAAAATCTGAAAATTGTTGAACATGACAATGAAAAATGCTACTGCTTTGCTGGAGAAAGTTTTCTCTTTTCTTAAGAATAGAGAGGCCAGACAACACAGAGTTAAGCTCACTGCATTTTCTCAATGAGACACAAGATTTGGAACAAGATTTGTTTTCAAACGGGAATAAATTATGAAAATTCATTTTCATTTACCACTCCAAATCCTATTCTTGAGAAGCCCAGTATCTGAATAAAGAGGATTTCTTCAGATTCAGATTCCCATGCACTTGCAGAGGTCCATGGGGAAGCTTGCACAACTTCTCTTACTGTATACTTTCTGAAGCCCAGTGGTTTAGACTTTCACAGGAGATTTGTTCATAAATGTTTAATCATTAAGATATTAAGATATTTCTAAATATAATAAAAGCTGCAAGTTCAAACAATCAGAGTTAAACCATGCTCCTGCAGATCTTCTGCATGTCAGTAATTTTTTACTTATGGGAAATCCTAAGTACAATAATTAACTTTTCAATTAAAAATCATTTCAAAAAATAGCGTATAAATTCTGAAACAGTTTATTCTGAAAGACTTGCCTTGATTTTTTTTTAATTTTAGTATTTCTATTTCTGGAAAAGGAATGGAGATGAGAATAGAAAACGTTTTCCGAATTCAACACACATTCAATGACAGACCTCAAGCTTTCTTTTCTTTAAATAAGTTACTCCTCAAAACATTTTTTCAGCATTTAACGCCAAAGGTCAATGCTTCCACTAATGCTGCAGTCTACAAAGTTGCTATTCACAAAGTCCAACAGTTAGAAGACATGCTGCTACAGAGAAGACACTGCAAGTTGGTAGATAAAGCACTGCTTACAGATGTCATATCAACTATTGGATCCAAAGCAATCAGAACTCAAGACTAACAAGATGTCTGCAAGATAAAAAAAAATCTTTTTCTTCATCCATACAATTGTTTTATCTACGCTAAGGTAAGAGTTGAAAAAAAACCATACGATCAAATCAATTGTTTATTTGATATATATATTTTTAAATATACAATCAGTAGCACCGACTACTTTCTTCAAAGATGCATTGTTGGAGTTCTCCAGCAGTATGTGAGTACTCCTGTGGGTTTCTATATGCAGCTACTTATCAGGTGAAGACTTAATTGGAGAATATTAGTTCAACCATAAAACCTGAATAAAGGCAGCACAAACCTGCTCTGCTGCAAGCACTAGAAGAGACAGATTTGAAACTTAAAGATGTCAAGAGTGCTGTGCTGAGTTCTAGCAGATAGCACCAACCCTGACTTAACATTTCCAGTGAGCAGAGCCTTCTTCCAAGACAAGCAGGAAATTTATATTACTTCATTTGAGGTGCAAACACTGACATCCAGTTTGAAGCATTCTATGGTTCACAGAGCTAATGCTGGTTTTATTTGTACTGTACTGATCATTTGGTTACTCCTGACTATTCTTCAGTATCATCCTTCAGCTGCATTCAGTTATCAAGCATTCCTTTATTAGCACTCACAATGATGACAATGACATTTAAAAACAATAGTAGAAACCTCCCTTACCTATGAAGAAAGGTCCATTCAGCAAGCAAAGGAATATCCATCCCTTCTTTCTCAAAAGATGCAGTAGATTTTTGAAGCAATTTTTCACAGCTATTGGCTTAACACAGTTCCACACTTGATGAAGTGTGTAAATGACACTGAGCAGGTGTGACTAACAGCCTCAGCAGAGGTTGCTTCAGTTCTCTCTGATCCTAGATGTGCAAACTTTGACCTACTGCAGTGAGGTAGTGAAACTGAGGCCAGAATCGCAGAAAAACATTTGCATTTCATCCAAAAATGATTTTTATGGAACACCATAACCTGCTGAGGCTCTCACCTAGAGCAAGTCAGATAAAGGTCACACCTGGAAAAACCATCCTCCCAGGTTATTCTGGGCTGCCTTATCTTAGAGATGCTTCAGAATCTCTAATGGAGAAGCACTTCTATTGATTCAGAGGATTTATTTGAACTCAAACATCCCTCTAAACTGCTGTCCTCACCTCCAAAACCCTGTACATCTCAAGAAGTTAATCTTCCCCATGAAAGCATTAACATTTGAATTACTGTTTATTATTATTATTATTATTACTATTATTATTATTACACCCTGCACTGATTCTCCAGTGGTCTCTCTGATATGGAATTTTATATGAGAAGAATATTTTTCTAGGGGAACCAATCAGTGATGTCTGAACAGGATGTTAAATGCCTTAATATGATTGGCTCCATTGCTTTTTATCAAATGACCAGAATTTCCAGACTGTTACAATTTAACTGCTTTTATTGTTTTGTAAATCCAAGTATGCACTGATGTAATGTAAATGCTGATAGAATTGATATCTTTTGAGAAACAGAGCCTCCTTCCATGAGGAGTCTGAAACTATATTAGCTTCCTGTGCTATTTAAGCAATGAATTGAAAGTGCATCTTTTGTCACTTTCTGGCAGTATAATTTCTGCCAATGTAACTGAGACTAAAGAGAAAAGACATAAACCAGGTAGTTGTTCTCATATCCAAAAGGTAAGTCTGTGCTACGAGATCCCCCGCTTCATTACGTGCTTTCACTGAAAGAAAAAAAACATGAACCCCTGCTCTAGATAAGCTCAGCATGAACTGATAAAATTCCAAACAGTTGGGCTGAAATACACAGGAAGTAGAAGAGTTCAGCACCACACAGATCTGCAGCATAGGAAGTTCCGCACAAATGTGCGCAAGAACTTCTTTACAGTGAGGTGACGGAGCACTGGAACAGGCTGCCCAGGGAGGTGGTGGAGTCTCCTTCTCTGGAGATGTTCAAGTCTTGCCTGGATGCCTACCTGTGCGACCTACTGTAGGGAACCTGCTTTGGCAGGGGGATTGGACTCAGTGATCTCTGGAGGTCCCTTCCAACCCCTACAATTCTGTGATTCTGGGATTAGGTTTATATAAAAATTTATATGAGGAAGTAGCCTCTACATCACAGCAATGGTAATAGCAACAATGCCACACAGAAGCACTAGCAATTAATTGAGAACACTTCCTATTAAACAGCATCATCATTATGCATTTTAAAGTAACTAGAGAGCCAGAAGAGGGGGAAAAATTCTCAGTAGTCATATGATCACACTATTACCCTATTGAAGCATCTACAATCACCTAATATTAAATATTCATACGAAAAAAAAATCTGCTTTAATAGAGACTGAGAGAGCACTCATCACAGACTTTATGCCTTTTATTCACTTTCTGAAAGAATTCCTTTTCTCCCTTCATGAAATTCACTTGATAAACTCTTTCTGTTAATTAATAAAGGTATTTTGCATGATAAAACTCCTGTAACTCCTATCTCACAGAAACTACAGTTAGGGAAATCAACTGAAGGTGAAGCATGGAGTGTCCTCAGAAAACCACTGAACAATATCACTGAACAAATAACTAAAGATAATATTCATACTTATTCCTGTGATGAACCCTCTAAAGCACATGGAGAAAAAAAACAAATTACTCTGAAGTTTACATTAATTAATAATTTCTTTTAAAAGGAAAAGAAAACAAACTCTGAAAAACATAAAGACACAAAAATAACATGAAAATAAACTATGCTTCTAGGAAACAGTATTTCTTATTGCAGACATACATCTAGTAATTTATATTGTGGCCTCTTGCAACATAGCATAGTTAAAATATAATCAAATAAACAATTCATATAAGTTACATACGCTTGTATCAGCTCAGCCCATTTTCCTCTCCATCTTTTGTGGCTTTAGAACCATTTTCAGTAAAAAGGATTCAGTTTTCAGCAAAGTCACCTATTCAAAACTGTGAATTTTCTATCAAGAAGGTATTCTAGTATGCACTGTAATCTCTAATTCAGGTTTCATAGGACAGCTTTTTTGTTTATTTGTTTTTAACAAAAAGAGCAACGGAACTCCTTTTGGGGATTTTTCAAGTGAGGCATTATATAATAGAAAGATGATCATTTTGCAGTGGCATAAACATATATTTATTCTTCCTCAAAGGCTTTATTCTCACAACAATTATACTTTAACAGATCAAACAGAATTCATTAAATAAAACAACTGCTTAGATATTGGATAAGAAACTGTTTCTCTTTACTTAGACACAAGATCACACTTTCAAAACCCAGTGCAAACATTTTCAGATGCAGTTCACATAATATTAAAGGAATGGGTGTACACTTTTGTTTTACCACCAAAACACACATTTTACTAATATCCAACGCTGCAGGAGAGAACACACTTCAAATTCACACCAGTTAGTCTAAATCTCATGGCTCTGAGAGGAAAATGGATAGGATCAAAGTGTGTTGCAAAATGCTTCT